TGTTAAAAACCCAAGAGTTGAAAGATGCTATACTGCAAGTATGCTTGGGATATGATAAAGAAACACAATCGTCTGAAGATCTCACGAACGATTTGTCTAAGGCAACGTTAGTAGTGGCTAGGCAGTTAGCGGCTAGAAGAGCGGCCAAAGAAAGAGAGTTGCGGCGAGCGTTGCGCATTGTAGAGAGAAATCTAATTAACAATCCAGGAATGGAGATGTATGAGAAAATAATAGACTCAGCTAGAAGGGAACTGGGGGACTGGAGCGATGGAGGGCCAGGGGATTGCAGATGAGGGCTAGAGTGAGAGAATGGGAGGAGGGAGAAAGAATGACGAAGTTCTTCTTTCAAAAGATCAAAGCAAGAGGTAGAAATGCGCTGATAGAACAGTTGGATGGACCGCAAGGCCTGGAATCTACTCCAAAGGGGATGTTGACAGTAGCCTGCAACTTTTACAGGGACCTTTACACTTCAAGGGAGGGGGATCAGGAACAACAACAACTAAAAGAAGTCAGAAATAAGTTTTTGGCTTACCTAGACTGCACGTTGAAAGGGGACCAAGCAGAGATCTTGGATGCCCCTCTAACCCAAGATGAACTAAGAGAAGCCCTGAACTCAATGCCTCCTAATAAGATGCCAGGAAGGGACGGGCTCACCAAGGAGTTCTGGCAGGAGTACTGGCCCATCCTCGACGGGGAATACGAGGCTTTTCTAAATCAGGCATGGCACAAAGAAGGCCTTGCCTTGGAATCCTCGTTGGGAGTCGTTACCCTTTTGTATAAAAAAGGGGACCCCAAGGATATCAGAAATTATAGACCAATTACTCTTTTAACACTCACGCACAAGATAGTAGCTAAAGCTCTAGCGAATCGTTTGAGAAAGGTCACAAATAGATGTTTTCATCTGGACCAAACGGGTTTCGTACCGGGAAGATTTATTTTGGATAACGTCATGACGTTGTCGGAATTAGTTAGATATATCACAAATAAGAGGATCAACGCGGCAATCCTCTTCTTTGATTTTGAAAAGGCTTACGACCAGGTAAACTGGAAATTTCTACAACTATGCATGGAAAAGATGAGAGTTGGCCCTAACTTTCGTAAATGGATCCGCGTTCTGTACAATGACGCACAAGGACAGGTTCAGCTCAATGGTCATCTTTCTGAAAAGTATAAAATGTCCAGGTCGGTCAGACAGGGGGACCCACTAGCAGCCCCTATTTTTTTTATTCATTATGGAGGCAATAGCCTCCTTCCTTAGGAAGGACCCCTCGATAGACCGCTTGATAGAAGAACCGGATCAGCAGGGACGCATTATAACCTTACCTAGGACGATATTATTTGCGGATGATCTGACAGTCCTCATTAGAGCCACGGACACCTCATTCCAGGCCCTCACAAGAGTTACGGAGGCCTTTCAGTTGGCATCGGAAATGAAGATCAATTGGCCTAAAACAGTAGGCTGGTGGCTCTCACATCATGATTATTAGAGTCAATCCCAGCCTCACAATTATGGAGGCATGTCTTGGCTACCGTCGGATCAGCCGATATTTGGGGATTAGGCTAGATGACACGGGTCCCCATCACTCCATGGCCCCAAAACAAATGGCAAAAATGTTAGCCAAAATGTCAGCCTGGTCGGACATTTACACATCGCTGTTTGGGAGGGCATTAGTGTTAAACGCTTCTATTTTCTCAATGTTATGGTATGTGGGAACGATATGGACTCCACCATCATAGTCGCTTCACAAGCTTACGAGGATGGCAGCTGCGTACTTGTGGACGGCGAATCCGGACAAGACCAATTTATATCAAAGGTGGCCTGGAGGCAAGTAATTCAATCAAAGGATCAAAGGGGGCTGGTTATTTTGGATCCTGACCAACAGATCAGAGCACTTCAAACTAAATGGGTCATCAAATTATTTACGCAAACCCATCTACGCTGGGTCCCCCTAGCATTGGAACACATATGGGGGATGGCGAGATACCCAACTCCACCAAATATGGAGGGCACGTTCTGGTTATTATGCAAAGGTTGGGCCAAGAAGGGAATGACAAGAGCGCAGGGGGGTGGGGAAAACGAAGCCAAGTCTTCGTACTGGGCCCACATCCTTAAGATATGGGCCGAAGTCTTCCCGGCAAGAGTAAGATATCCAAGAACGAGAGAGGAGGTTCTCAGGCAGCCTTTGTTTTGTAACCCGTGGTTGAAGGACTCTCAAGGAAAACCCAGAACACTTACAGCAAAGGACGCCAAGTGGGGGAATTGGTTGGAGCATGGGGTATGGCAAGTAAAGCATCTATGGTCACAAACTCACAATAGGTGGAAAATGGGGAGGGAAATGAGAGAGGAAATGAAAGGTTGTCACAGACTAACCGAGAATTTGAATGAAGTGCTTAGCTCCATACCCCAAGCATGGACGCAAATATTGCGGGGCCCGTTCAAATGGGGCTGGGGTGACTGGGCAACTTGGACCTCAAGCTCGGAACCAGACCAAGCGTTCCGCATTCACCAGGAGGTAGGCCCAGCCAATCAGTGGCTGGAGGCAGACATGTATCCAATCCTGAACCCAGGCTTTACGGTAAGTCTATTGGACAAAGAAACCAGGGTTCCAATAACCATCAACAAAAGTCTCCTCACGAAAGCCAGGGTGATTGAGACTGACGAATTCACAATTTTTGCTCCTACAACACCTATCCAAGATCTGGAAATTGATCCAGCACACTGGGCATGGAACATCAAAGGGAATGGGTCAAGAACAATTAACAGAGTTAACGTACTCCACTACACTACTAAATGGGGGTATCGGTTAAGAAAGAGATCAACCCAGATGGATCAACCCCTGTCGATTTTGCACAGCATCAGGCTGAATAAAGTCCGAAGTATGCAGTGGCTCATTTTTCATGTCGCACTCCCAGTCAACCCCTGGCTGTACGAAAAACGAAGCAGGAACAACAGAGATGTGAGGGAGCAAAATTGCACCATGTGCACGGAAGGAGTACCTGAAACACTGGTTCACTGCCTACTGCACTGCCCGGAACTGGAGTATGTTTGGTCCATAGCTCGAACCCTGTGGGATCGCATCACGGACTTCTCATTCCCAAGGAGCAGAAGAGTCCATCTCACAGGAACTGAAGTCCCGAGAGGATGGTACTCAAGCCATAAGTGCATTTACCAGTTGTTGAGACAATACACATTATGGACAGTATGGAAAAGAAGATGTCAACAAGTGATAGGTAAAAGGCCGTCAACCAGAACGGAAGCCAAAGCGACACTACATAATCTGCTACAGACGGACATTACACCTTAATGGCAGCGAGCCAAGAAGCAGGCAGCGGCTAACCCTGAAAAGGCCAAGGACATTCTCACGAAATTCCAGAACAGAGTATTGGCCAAAGGTAAAGTAGCCACAATAGAGGGGCACAGGCTAATCTTCCATTGGTTCAGAGAAGACCAACAAGACATGGCAAACGGACACCAGGGGCAGACACAGCAACTGGCTTCACTATGAACAAGGGAAGTCAAAGCTCAGAAATGGGAAGGAAATGGGTGAAGTGCAAGCAATGGAGCACAAGTTAAGACAGAGTCGCAAACGGCAGACCATAGGAAGAAGCAAAGGAACGTTGGAGACTAATGGCATTGAGAAGAAAGGGAAGGGTTTACAGCAAAGGAACTTTGGAGGCTATTGGCATTGAGAAGAAAGGGAAGGTTTAAGGTTTAGGGGAGTAGGGTTCAGGGTTTAAAGAGGTATCCGTCTGCAATGATCTGTGGGAAGAGAGATTCAAGTAGAATCCGCCTCAGGTAATGATACTACAAATTAATGAGACTGCAAAGTATGCTGACCTGTAGAGAAGTACAGGTAGGTTTAAGGGTTTAAGGAGGTAGGGTTTAGGGCTTACGGAGGTAACCCTCGGAAAACATTGCTGGAAAGAGAGATTCAAGCTACGTCTGGTACAAGTCAAGGGAATACAAATGTAGTTATGGCATAGGTGAACAATAGGGACCACATTGCAATACGCGGAGAGTACTAAGGTCGTTTCTTGATATTCATGCGTTATATGATAGGTTACTATGGGTAACCTGAGAGGAAAGGACCTAGTAAACAACGGAGACAGTACCGGTCTTTCTTGAAATTCATGTGTGATAAGGTAGGCTCTTAAGGAAAGGTCTGACAAGAAAGAATATACCGGGCTTATGAGTTAAACTGCTGGTTGACGTAGAATAGGCTAACTTAGGCAGGGGGGAGGGGTGGTATATCCTTCCTCAGGGAAGTAATCAATGCCGCCCACTCGGACCTTCCACCCATCATGGGGAGGAGCGTGCGCGAGTAATTTTTGTATTCAATTATGACTTGCCGAGGGAATAGGAACCGGACTGTTGCTCTCCAGAATGGCAGGAGCCAGAACCGAAAGGTTCTGTTAATTAAAAAAAAAAAAAAAAGGGGCACCCTGAAGAAAGTCGAAGTAAAGATAGTCCACAAAGGGTGTAACTGATCTATTGTGCTTCATGATGCTTGCGATAAAGTTAACACATTCATTGTTGGATTCTCTCATCCCAAGTGTGCTTCATTGTCTGCCAAAAAACAGCTTTGATTTTGGATCGGCTCATCTGGGCGGAGCAGTGGCTGTTGTGGTGATAACCTACAACACACGCACAGGCACACGCACACGCACACGCATCCAAAAACGCATACTCACAAGCAGCAACTAGGTCTTCTAGACTAGCCATGAGATTCTTGCACACCGTCGGGGCAAATCTTTCTGCGTACCTGTGCGGTGGACAAGGATAGAACATGCAGTATGAAAGACAGATGGATATTACCTAGTGAGAACAGTGTGTGTGTGTGTTTGTGTGAGCGTTGCCTTCACTTACTGACAACCAGTATATGGGGGCTTATGATGTTGTTCGGTGTGCGGTTGGGTGGGTGTATGACTTGCCTCCTCTGTTGTTGGGTTGGGTGGGTGCATGACTTGCCTCCTCTGTTGTTGGGTGTCAAATCAAGCAGGTGGGCTCTGGGAGTGATGATATACAGGCTGCTGCATGGAGAGGGCCCATTTGCTTCATCCAGAGACAATGACCTTGAGATATTCAATCGCATAACAAGAAGGCAACTCAAGTACCCGAAGAACTTCAGCAAGATACTTATCGACTTGATAGAAAAGGTGGATGAAAAAAATATATCTGCAACACCTTTGGAAATAAGTGCAGAAGCTCGAGACAAAATGCATTCATTACTCGTCTCTAGGGAAGTCTGGGCAGTATTGTAGGGGTGAGCTAACCGATGGGACTAGCTCAGTCGGTACACGTATGAACTGCTGAAATACAGAAGTGAGCTCGAATCCAGAATGAACTGGTTGAGTGAATTTCTGAATCACCTGCGGCAGGTCAGCTCAATTATGATATCTCACGGCCGCCACGTTTTTATTTAAAAAGAAAAAGAAAAGAAGAAAGGGTTTTGTCAGCATACCTACCTCACAATGGTACAAGTCCACTTTAGGACTGTCCACTGTATAGTCTGATGCATCGCAAATTCTAAGCCCCCCATTTTTCCCTCTTACTTTCTGGCCCCCCTAGTTCACCGCGTACTTGTCTGTGACAACGTGTCTTAATATGTTCCCATAACAAAGAAGCGGAGGAGAATGGACAAAATATAACCCCCATGTCACATTAGCATGTGTGTCTGCTTTCTGCTGTCAACAAAGTCATTGTCAATGCTAAATATCATCACACACCCATAAGCTCGAGTTTCATGTCCGGAAACCCTGAAATAACCATCAGTCAATGATTCAGAGCCTCACAACCTTCTGTTAAATTACCAGTACATCCGGAAAGCAGATTGAGCCTCTCCTAAAAATAGGAGGCGATGAACTGTCGATTCATTTTATCTACGGTCCATGGCCTCCAAACTTTTAGGAGAGGGCCGAGAGGCTCAATCTGCTTTTTCGGATGTACTGGCGGCTTAACTTAAAGGCAGATGAAGGTTGTTAATGTTCATCGCATTACCCAGCCATCAAGATTGCATTTGGTCGGCAGTTGTGAAGCAGCGAGGTTCAAACTCTTATATGCATGGACACAGTGGGCAAGGTACATCCACGAATGCAAACTAAGATCGCGATTGATTACACAATGGAGCAAAGAAGGAAAGAAAAAACTTAAGCTGCTCACGGTTCCAGTAAGCTAGAGCAAACAATAAATTCAATCGCACCACGCCTCACATCAATTCAGTCGATTTTCAATTCCCATTAGCTCATGTGTTCAGTAGACTTCTATATCATCAGAAATACTTACAGTACCCTAACCCTCAAGCAGCCACCAATACTTGTGTCGATGATGAATCGGTGCCAATAACTCATGCTTATGTTTGGAATAAACTGTGGGTAAGCGTTAACTATGGGGCCAACCCGGCCAAGAGTGTCCTATTGAATATGACTCTCCACTGGCTACGCAGTGACTGATCTCTCTCTCTCTCTCTCTCTCTCTCTCTCTCTCTCTCTCTCTCTCTCTCTCTCTCTCTCTCTCTCTCTCTCTCT